CCACAACAACTACGACGACGACGACGACCACAACAACCACAACAACTACAACAACAACAACAACTAAGACGACAACAACGACCACAACTACAACTACTACAACTTCAACTACTACAACTACAGGTACGGGATACAAAAGTTTTAGATACATATCAGGGTATAAAAATCGGTAATAAACCGATTACTCGTTCAGTTTGGGAACCGATCAGTATATTTTCTATCTCTTCTATTGCTTTATAAGCAGTCTCTAACGTCTGCTTATTACTTTTGCTTTATTCTAGCTCCTCCAGCAATCACTTGTTCAGCCCCCAATAATAATGCCGTTCTCTATAACAATCAATTCATCTATTCTCCCTCCCAACACTATGCAGCTGGTATGCTTAATGGGCAATTTGGCGTCTATACTGCCTACACTAATGCCAACGTTACTTCCACGGCACTGTGGACTGCTTCCCAAACATCAACACCAGCAAGTGCTTTTTTAGCCGCGCAAGTTGACCGAAATCTAGTTGTTTACACAGGTACTGGTGGTGTCCTTTGGGCAGCGAATATATGGATCGGCGGAATGAATGCGGCATTTTGTCTTCAAATGTTAGATAGTGGAAATCTTATTTGGACGGATTCTTCGAACAATATCATATGGCAGACAAACACATCAGGTTGATGACATTTGTTACAAACTGTGTTTTTACATCGGTGTTTCCCTCTCTTCTCTTTGAACATGATATCTTCAATCCTATATCATTATCTCTTAATAATGTTCATCTTTTCGTGTGACTTTTTAAGAGAGCATTCATGACATCATCCAAAAACCCAGGCACTTATCAAATTTCACTTTATTTTAATTTAATACACACATCGGAATGAATTATGTCAAAATTCGAATTCAGTCTAAGATATGTGGGTGTGGGTGTGGGTCTTGTTTTCATCTATAGCCACACCCACACCCCACCATATCTACATCCACACCCAGCTACACCCCACACCCACACCCCACACACCCACACCCACCCTGTGATATATATATCTATAATTTAATCTTGGTTATTAAGGTCTGTAATGGAAGCCTTCATTGCTAAGTGTCCGTAATGGGGAGGGAGAGCCGCGAAAACTTAACCTTAAAACTTACACTCATTATCTTCTTCGAAAATATATGTGAGTTTCAAAAAAAATAAAAGTGGTAACCAGAGTAGCGATATTAAAAGAACTGAAAGAAAAAAAGGCGTTTAACCATGGAAAACGAAAGTTGGACCAGGATAACTGTAGTTTCTTGTGATTCCGTAGATATTTCGCTTCTCATTAAGTACTATAATCAGTTGTCAAAAAAAACTTGCTATTGATAAGAATTAAATATGGTACTCTAAAAATGGACAGAAACTGGAGACGTTCCCTTTTTCTGAATGATCTTTACTAGTTTACCCAAAATTAGTAGCCTACCATATTATCTAATCTTCATTCCACTCCTACATTTGAATTGTTGCCGTTGTGGGCACGTATAAAAATAAACAATAAAAAGCCTTGCATGCATGAATGTTATTTTTCGCTTCGTTTTTCTGTCATGAGAATCGAACGAGCACAAGTAAACAATACATCAATAATTATGGCATTCATGTGAGGAAACAATGGTAGGTAGACTCGAATGAGTAATGGAATTATTATTTTTCCAACAAAGAAAAAAAATGCATTTCATTGAAGAAAATTTTCTGCTGACATGAAGTGTCTTGGCTTTTTCCAAGAATCCGATGAAATTGCAGTAAACAAATATTAAATATTGATTATAGATTATATTTTCAAAGTCTATTGCAAACTTTTCTTCATGAAATATCGAAACCTATCGAATATCTATTGTCATAATATATTGAAGTAAATGTGAATAAAGAGAAAACATTCATACTTAGATCTAAAGATGGCGAAGCCTACGCAACCATGGATACTACAGCACAATAGTTTGATCAGTGTACACCGTACACAGCTATAGGTATTGTACAGGATCATTGATTGGTTTGATGATATCATATGACATTATATGATTTATTGTTCTTGATTGTAAAATATCATTGTGAACTGTTTTTGAAATAATCGATTACATGTTAGTATTTATTGGTATTGACTGATGATTGTTCTACGAAAATCAGTAGAATTAAAATATAATAATCGTTTTGGGTGTGAGTGTAATCATATCCACTGTTGCTTTGGACACTCACATTCAATACCCCACATACTTATATCCACACTCAAAAAAACTTGAAGCAAAACCTGCAGCAATTGAGAGAGATATTCATAAAATATTTAGAAGATCATTCGTTATGTATCATCTGTTATGAGATCAGATCCGTACCGAACGAACTCTACTGGGAACAACAAGAAAAACAGTTATTCTAACTGCAACTAAGGGTTATAGCTACATATTCTGTTACTTTTAGCATAGAAATAAAGAAACGAGTATTGAAGAAGTGGGTGTGGGTATTTCTTCTTTATGTACACATCCACACTCATACTCATGTTATTAAGAAAACTCTCAGATATTTTACATGGAAAATTACTGATCGATACGGTTCGATGTAGTTTTTTGTTAAAAGTTCCTTGTTGCCTTTTCGATTCATTCTCCAGTTATTTTAAATTCTATTAACTAACAATTCACCAGCACTATTCTTCTCAAGGATCTAGGGTGCACGAAGAGTAATGAATTCCGGCATTTTCTTGTGCAATAGTTTCTTTTGCCGCCAACTATTAATATTGACTCTATCCAGATAGCAAACTTCAATATTTGAAATGTTTAAAAGGTATCCTAGCTTGAGAGTTGTTTCACTTTCGTACTGAGTAGAGCGGGTCTTTGGTAGATCATTGATAATGAATATTAAAGAATCTGGTTGAAATTGATAAGCAGCATGCAAAGCCTTGAAAGATACAACATCTTCGTTGCGTATACTATCTGCCAAGTCACCATTGAAAACAGAAGTAATGATAAATTTCAGATACCATTCAAATACCTCTTGAATCTCTGTTTTACTTCGATCTGCAGTTGCTTAATCGTTTTCAATAAGACCAAGAAAAATAAATAGAGCATAAAATCGTTGAGGAAGATGTAAAAATTTAATTTCTGTTACATGAGTTACACTCAATACATCACATTTATTAGTAAAAACATTTTCGTTCAATACGATGTTTGCAAGAAATGATTGCAAAGAGCAATGAGGCCTGGAGCAAATCGCTATCAGACGGTTGTTATGAGTATTTAATTCCAATAACAGGTCTTAATTGTTTGTGATGATGTTTAGGATGGTGGCATCCATTTTATCTCAGAAACAGACTTCTCTTACTTTTTTTATAGTTACACAACGATACGTTGAAGAAATCAAATGTATCTTGTTGAAAAGAAGGAAGTTTGCATACAATGTGCACAAACTAAAAGCAATAAATATCATCACAATCCCAGTAGGATAAAAATGTAAAACAGGATGGAGCTGTTTCTTTTTTATACGCATAACGATGTGTCTTATTTTCATTGAAACATGATTGAAGATTAAAGGAGTATTATCTTCAAGTATCTCTGATCGTGTGTAATCGGGGTTAATATATAAAATCGCGCCAGAGAAAAATATATTCCTTAGACTGATGAGGAAAGGTCTTCAAGTATCACATGCCGTTTTGAATCGAATCTATGTCGGTTACTAGAGTTCAATGAGACCTCACGGAGTCTTGAAGAGTTCATTCCCATACCCTGCTTTTGTGGGATTAGGACCGTTTTGCTGGATTTTCGATCTCTGTCAAATCATAAATGGCAAAAATCGATTTATAGGGTTTTGACTTGACATTATACTCATAATTAGGTTTAATGACCCTTAGAATATCTTAACCATTTCAGTCCGAAAGATTTTTTTCTTCTTGAACTATCGAATGTCGAAGTCACTTTCTTATATTATATTTCCTTTCGACACATGTTCGCTTTCTGGATACTCAATATCATAAGAAGAAAACATTCTTTTGGACTGAAACTTTTGAGATATTTTAAAGATCATGAGACCTACCTATCGACAAAATGTCAGGTTAACATTCTCTAATTTGGTTTTTCCCATATATGCTTTCCGAGTGAAAAATTTTAACCAATAAGATCGACCAAATTTTCAAAATCCTATGTCAATACTAATCGACTAATCTTGATTGATGACTTTCATTGTAATCGATTATTAGTTCGTTGTAGTCACACAGAAAGTTAGAATATAATAAACATCGAAAAGATTTCGATCATTTTTTTATACTTTGGTATGTGTTTGCAAAACGATAAGAGAAAATATAACTAAATAGAAACCTTTGTCATACAAAAAAAGGATTGGAATGCAATTTTTTTGTCTTTTTTCTACATGGAAATTATCAGCTGTTATTCTATGCTATCTGTTAATTTACTTCAAACTTCTTTCATCTGCTAATCAATTTTAATCACTTATCACTTCTTCATCGGCTTTGTAAGTGTCGCTGTTCCGGATTGGTCTTTCAATGCTCTCTTTTCTCACACCGACATCCACACCCACATCCCAAATTCCAGCAAGCCGGCAATAATTTCTATATGGTTTAAATTTTATACATTCTGATGATTAGATTTTGTATATTTAAAGTCTATCAACAAAAGTCATATAGTTTACTGATTATTAACCACCCAGCTTTCATAGAATGGAGACGATCGTCATTTCAATAAGATCCTTTCGAATAACTATTCATCATTTCGTATGTATTTTTCTGACTTTTGTTCTCCAGAGTCGTAAATAAGAAGAGGACAGAAAATAATCTCTATACATCAGCGAAGAATTATTTGATGGAAATTCATTTTCGACATTGTTTAAGAATTGGATAAATCTTTTCAAATGCTTCATGCATATCTCGACGAACTTTTGCGCCTAAAATAATCGATCAAGAGTTTGACTTCAATAGAAGAGTTTTAAGTTGAATTACCAGTTAGGACTATTTTGCCCGATACGAAAATAAGTAGAGCAACTTTTGGTTTAACTATTCGATAAATTAGACCAGGAAATATTTCAGGTTCGTAACTAAAAAAAGATAAATATTCGTCATGAATCACTGTCAATTGAATTCATCTTTTACCTGCAGTATTGATAATGCTCAAGTATAATCTTCTCGAATCGAATGGGAAATTTGACATCAATACTTCCAACCATATTTTGAATTTTGAAATCACGAAATTTAACCTTGAAGATATTTGAATATACAAAAGTTAGTTTAAAATATTTTATCATACTGGAAAAGCAAGTTTTTGAATCACTCGCGCATAACGTCTGGCTGCTTCTAATGAATCTTCTTCGCTAAAAATGTTCGAAATTAAGCATGTAAACAGAAAATAGAAAATTTTTTTCAATACCTTTTAGCACCTGTACACACCATTTTACCCGAAGCAAAGATTAAGGCAGTGGTGCGTGGTCTTCGAATACGCATAATAACAGCAGCAAATCGTTTTGGATTATATTCGGCATTACGAACTTGTAAGGAAATCCGTTTCAAGTCCAATGGACAATTCAGATCCACCGTTGATATAACATTTCTTGAAAATAATTCACAAAAGATTCGAGTAGGTATTACCCTTATGTTTAGTTTATGTTTCAAACCGATAAGTAGCTCAATTTGATTTATCTATGAATCAAGTTCGATCACTGCTTATCTCATTATAACATTTCAGGTAGAAAAAAAAATCAATTTTTCGTTTTCAACATCCTTCTCATGAGTCTTATTCTATACAAGCGAGATCGGAGATTTCAAATCATTTTTCAAAAATAAAATTTTCTCTATTTCATGGGAGATTTGTCATTATAATTTTCTAATTCAAAAGTGAAAGCATCTTTGATGGATTTAGTTTCAAAAATTATTTTGTCGTTAACTTTCGAATATTTAATGTAAAAAAAACGCTACAAATCGTTGATACATGTATCCAGAGAGAAAACAATTTCCTTTTTCAATCAACACTTACTGTAGGATAGGTTGCAAACAAAACATATTGACAATAGGTGGTGTCATACGAACTTGAAATGGTACGTGTAGCTGTTGTTGATTGCTTGAACTGACTGAAAAGGTTGGCTCTATGCATGTTGCAATTATTTCTGATGATGCTGATTGGTAATGATCATTTTCTTCTTGTTCTTGTCTGGAATCATTTCTTGTCCTCGTATTTGCTTCTGCCTGTGAAGCTTCGCTTACTGGACTTGGTAACGAGGGTGAAAATGACATTTGAAATACTTGCCGGTTAGTCTGCATCAAATAAGAAACTTTGGATAGAAAAAATAGGAAATACACTGAATATTAATGACAAATCAGTCTAGTATTTATGTAGAGCACTGAATACCAGTAATAAACCTATTACGAATGAAAATCAGAGAATTTCAATAAAACGATTTTGTTGTAGTCAATAAGTGTACTCAGAAATAAAAGCATGCAAACATGTTTTTTTATATGAACAAAAAGTTATGACTTATTTCTATCTGCAGAATAGATGGTTTGAAGTAAACCAAGTATTGTTTAAGAGGAAAAGACATTTTTAAGCGGCAACTCAAGATATCTCTTTTATAATATAACTCAACATTGACTTTTCTATAGGTGATGATTGTTATCTTTCATTTTTGTTGAAGTCTACGAATAATTCTAACTTTCTTTCAAGTCGAAGATATGCTAGAAAACTTTTTCAGAGAATACAATGAAAATTTTGATATCTTGAACTAAGCCGAACATTTTGATAAACCTTTTTGAACTATTAGTGATATCGCCGAGGCCTACTTTGAAATAGACATTAATTTCTCACTATTGACCTCGTTAGAATGTGCATTGTCCATTCGTAAAAACAATACTATTTTCTGATTCAAACAAGATAAAATGTTATTTCGACGATATTATTTGTTTCTTCACAACTAGTTTGAAGAAAACTTCGAAGTCAAACAGAAATGAGAGTATGAATGAGTGTTGAAACTATTCATATTTATTTCTATACTTACAGATACGTCTTAATTTTAAAGTGTCTAATGTTTGATCAACCATGCCGTTAGAAATATATACGGCATTGTGTGGCTGACTCAATTTTGGTTGGTAATTACATGTACACATAACAAGTATGTTGAAATGCGCATAGACAGAACAGAAAAAGAACAAGAAAAAACACTTGTCTTCTGCAATATCTATATGTAAGTTGAGTCACTTTTGCAAATGACTCAGCAAAAAACATCTATACATTACTCCTAGGTGACGTAATAGCTGTAAATATTGTATCAGCATTGTTTTTATTTTAATGCGCACTACTTGAGGAGGTTTCTACGAAAATATCAATTATAGTAAAAATATTAACTTATTGTTATCAATCCGACTAGCTGACACGGGAGATAATATGCGAGTATTACGATGTATTTATCAAATTTCAACAGGCGAGCCACATTACTATCTTTCGTCTAACGAATAAAAGTGATGATTTACCCGTTTTTAAACCGAAAACTTAAAGATCTCTACAATTGCATCATTTTCTGACGCACTAAAGAAGTAGCTGCCTTACAAAGTTCTAAAAGAAAATTAACAAAATACGAAGGTATGGCTGTCGATGAAGACAAAGATTACTTAGATCGGCCCATCAACACACACTTCTTTGTTGGCCAGGTTATTGCCTATTGTTTTCAATCTAAAACTAAATTCACATAGACTAACATTTTTGAAATAATCCTGGAATGTGAATGTAATTATAAAAGACCAAAAGAGAAGTTGAAATTAATTTCTTCGCTTGATCGATAGGAAAACTCTTGCTTTCTGTGTTGATTTTGTTCGCTGAAATCTTCATCAGCCGATTACCAACCGAGTAGAGATATGTATATTCCAGTTTGTTTTTCTCACGGATGTGGATTTGGACTGTGAGTAACACTCCGCTTTAAATCTATCATCCACATCCACAGCCATACCTTACGCCCTTTCCATATCAAAGATAGTTTCTAGCTTTTTCAGATTGTTCTCAATTGTCAGCAACCCTGATCTCTTCATTCAAGTTCGTGCTAACAATTCTCTGTGCTAACTTCCCAAGTCGAGAGCCCCAACATTCGACAGCGATTAAGAATATCGAGATGAGCTATTCTCGAAGATGATTTCTAGCAATTAATATCTTGATCTGACAATTATGTCGCTGTATCAAGAGACTAGTAATAGTGAAATAAAGAAAACACGTTCTATCCCTATTCATTAATCATTTTGACCTGTTATTACAAAATGAATAATATACGACCAGTTCCCGGCGGAAAAGTCCAAAACTGTCCAATGCTTGGAGACACGAATATTGGATCTATATTCAGCAGCTATTTATGGTGGGTTCTGGCTGAAAATAGAAAGTGGATCACGAAGCTTCGACACCCTATTCTTATCATAAGACATCTGTGTTCTTATATTTTGGATTCCTGATGGCATTTTTCGTCTAGGCAATGTTGCAGGTGCTTCGACACTGAATGGGTGTGGGTGTGAGTTTGATTTTGGGCAAGATCTGTACCATACTCACGCCCACACCTATAATCAACCACCCCCAAACGAACACGCACACCATAGCAAAACCTTTTATGTTACAGTTTCCACTTATTGTTAGCAGTAATCTGAATTACTAGATTAAGCTTTGAGGATTCGACTACTCGTAAAAACCACGGAAAAGCAAAATTCAAAGATCTGTTTAGGTGAGAAATGCTTGCAGGCCTTGGTCTTATATGTTAGTTACTCGAGGATCTGTGCTCGTAGCAATAATAGTATCTAAGATAATAATGATAATTTCAAGTAACATTCATTTGAATTAAAAACAAAATTTCCTTGCCGAAATAATCATGATAAAAGTTTCTCAATGGTACAACGTGTCGCTACTGAAATACTCGGTCAAAATGAACTTTACTCGATGATTTTGTTGAGAGAAGAAGATTTTAAAATAGGAACAAATTAAAAAAGATTTGAAAGGAAATTTAGAAATGTATTGCAGCACAGTTCGATTAATCTTATGATATTTGAAAAATGCTGGTTAATTGGTTCGTACTGTATATTAGTGTTATATTCGTAGTAGGGCGTGGGTGTGGGTGTGTGGGCATGGGTATACATATTAAGATCTCACACCCACACCCCACACCCACACCGACACCCACACCCACCCCACGCCCATCCCGCACCCATTTTACTTCGAATTTGCGTGTGTAAAGAAGCTCGAAATTTTATTTAGACACACAGAGGATACTTACGACCGGTTTCGATCTTGCTTGAGAGTCATCATCAGCTAAGTTTGATACCTAAATTTTGTTGCATATCGATCGAACATCAAAATAGAGATACTTCTATGAGAGTCTTAGTTTAGAAACAAAACTCTCAACAAAACAGCTATCAGACTTTTTGAAGTAGGGTGTGGGTGTGGATGGGTGTGCATGGATGTGCGTGGGTGTGGATGGGTACTGGTATGGGTTTGGGTGTTGTTGTTGGTTTGTTCCTTTCCTGTACACCCACACACATACCACTCACCCATCCACACTCACACCCACACCCACACCGCCCTCACTTCAAGTTTGCCTAAACATCATTGATTTATAAATCAACTTACCTTGTGTATTTGAAGATAATATCTATGAGAGCGATGGATGAATAAAAATGATAGATATTATTGTGTACAAATAATTGATCTAAATTTTTCGAGAAATATGCAATAACCAAATATCTCTTTTTGTCATTTGTTGTTTGAAACAAATGAAAAAATCTTTTTAAGAAAAGACATTGATGAGGTCTCTACAAATGCTTATCAACACTGTCTTTATACGAATAACTTAGAGCACAATTTTTATAAACTTAACGATTTCAATAAAGAAAGAATTTACCTTGTTTACCGTTAAAAGACGCTTAATATGTGAATTGAACGAAGTGTCACGTACATTTTCTCCCCATAAAAGTGAGATTAACATAAAATAACTCTTGAGACTTTGTTAAACTTACATTTTAAACGTATTTCAATCGTGAAAAGAAGGTTACATTTTTCACTGAAATCACTGAATTAATGGATACTTTTTTTTATTGTACTCTCTATCAATCATTTCATTAATGTAATGCGAAGTACCTTATTATGATTATTCGAAATTTTTTTCTTCACTCATAGTTCATTCTCCAACTCCATCTTTTGTGGCATGATACCCTTAAGAACAATACATCGTCCGATGCTTGTGGAAACCTAATTCGAGATGTTGAGATCTCTGTTATGATTACAAATTAAAATCGATTTTCAGTTTGACGTTTCCTTCATTCAAAATAAAATCTGGATAATAAACATAATTTATAGATTTCGCTTTCTTAGATCGATACAGAGTTGGAAGCGGTCCGCCCGTACAGGACCGGATTTTTTGCCAGTTCATCATTACAAAATTATTGTTTGCACCCAAGAATTTTCTCTACTGAAAACGGTTTTTCTATGATATTTTCAAGTCAGAAGAATGTGTTTGCGAAAGACTCAATAGATATCTTATCTTCGACTTGACTATAAACGATTGATTGTTCTCTTTATATCTCTATCGATTTCTTTCTCGTGTATCGCTCAATTTAACCATGATCAGATAATTTATTCTCTTGTTCTACTTAGGCAGCTGCCTGAGTCAAGAAAAATAAATATTTACATTTTTGTGTTAGATTTGTTATAAACTTGCTTTTTTTTCTTTTTTGAAATTAAGATGAAAAACAGATTTGATCTGAATAGCTAATTTATATTGATGTCAGGCTCAAAAAATCGATGCACCTTGCTATAAAATATGAAGGGAGAGTTTCAGTCCCAACTTTTAGTTTCCAGTTCGGATTAGGGGCGGCGATTTGCTGCTAATTTATTATAATTTTAAATTGGATTTATATAAATTTAAATTTTTTAAAATTATTTAAATTTATTTAAATCCAGTTTAAATCAATAAAAATTCAAAATAAATAAAACTTTTTAAAATTTATTTAAAATTTATTTTTCTTAAAATTTATTTTTAGATTTATAAATTTTTCGTAAATGTAAATTGATCACCCCTAATTCGGATTTCTGCATGTGAATATTCAATTCTCCTTCGCCAACATTTTATGTGAACAGATACTTTTATGGTCGGTTATTTTCGCCGGATTTTTGCCAGTTTGGCTGTAAAATTCGTCCGGCCGGTTACTAGCCGGACCGGACCGGACAGAAATAACCTGTCCAGTTCCAACTCTGAATCGACCGAATACACATCTGTTTTTTGGATTAATTTACAGACGTCTATGAGAGAGTACTAGTTATGTCTTGCTTTATGATTGTATAGTAAACACAAAGACTGTAAATATAAAATGTGTTTCTGTTTCAAAATCATACAATCTGTACAAGTACTTTAATCTAAGGAGAAGAAAATTCATATTAATTAAGTTTTCGAACATCTTAGTCTCACGAATCGGAAGCCAGAAAATACTTGTTGAAGCGAGACGTGAAAGTATCGAATTCGAACTGATATCAATTTTCTCAATTTTACTAAGGGTGATTCATCCGTTTACAAATAGTATATAGGAAAAATGATGTACTCTTCCACTTCTTTTTGTGTCATTATGTGAATATCATCGTTTAAATTTCATTTGAGTCAAACGATGGTCTGTATGCTAATTTTTGATATCATTTACTTGAATATTTATACTATATAGAATCGTAAATAAATGAAAAATAAATATTTCAAATAAAGTATATACAGACGAATGATCAAGAAAAAAAATAAGATTCGGTTCAACATCATCAACTTGATCAAGCCATATATATATAGCTTCGATTTTATCTTTATCAAAGAAAATATTACAATTTCACTTTTCACTTATCAAGCAATTTTTTTTATAAATACCAAATCTAATCTTGAACGTGGTTATTCAACATCAAATTATTGAGATACTAAACATTCATCAGAAAAACTTGACTTTTTCTTTATATCCAATATCAAGTTCTTTGACTAAAAGAAACACATCTTCGCTATAAAAAAAAATGCTTTTTTTTCTTGCAAATTATAGAAACTCATTAAGTTTAGTAACATGATCAGACTAACAATGTTCTTCAAGACTTCGTATTACTAACACTTAAATATATAATTTATTTTCATGTTATTACATTTCTTTTAGCATTAACTTTTAACAGTGCGACTAAAAATTAAAATTCTTCAACAGATATTATCTTTTTTTCTTTTGAGATTTGTATTGTCTTTAGAGCATATTACTATTAATCATATTTTTGAACTCCATCAATTGAATAATATTCACGTTCTTTTTTTTTGTTTTTTTCGTGAATTGACTTTCAGTCCAATCGATTTTAGAACAATATAACTCGGAATAATAGAGAAATAGGAGATACTATTTTTTTTTGCTAAGACATGATTTCAGAATGAATATTATCGATAAATTTTTCCAAAATTCAAATGATGAAATAAGACTTCATTGCAGATTGTAATATATGGTATTTATAAATTCTGATTAACCTATTCTAAGAGAAATTTTCCTTTTTAAGACTTGCTCAATGATTATTTAAATGTATATAGAACTTTAAAGAAATGTTGATTAATAAATCAAAATCAGACTAGCTTCCTAATCAAAGTTGTTCAAAGATCTTCTCATTTATTTGAACAAAGTTTCTCATCGTTTATTTAATTAAATGAATCCAATGTCAGAGACTCATGGCAAATTATAATTTCTGAAAAGAACTCGCACGTATACAATACGTCAACTTTCGTATTTGTTTTCTTTATGGTAAAAGGTGTCTAGTGATACTCAATGAAAAACTTATATTAAAAAGCGTTCAAAAAATAGTCGAACCTTTTTTTTCTTATCGTTTCGTGAACTCAACTATTGTTTGCATGTAGCAGAAGTTCTTATTTCTTCAAGACGTCCAAGTCTGCCTGTGAAGATCTGTCTACTTACTTTCTACAAAAATAATATATATTGATATCGATTTAACAGAATCTGATTTTATCATTCTTTTTCGTTAACTTTCAAAAAAATAACTTGATCCTATTCTTTTATAAAGGGAATGCAAATTTATAAAATACAATGAAACAACCCTTAAGATCTATGACTGCTGAGGATCCAAGACTAAAACAAAGTTTCAGTTGACAAGACTCTCCATCAGATATATTCTAACAAAAAAACATAGACAGAATAAATGTCAAAATAAAAACTAACAATCAAAAAATATTTACTTACATTAACAATATTGTCTGAAATCCTTCATCAATCTCTAGTGGTTGTAAAAATACGGTAAATTATACATATTGAAATTAAAATACCATCTTCTACCACTGTAAAAAGATTTAATATTAAAACCAAATATGGTACCTAAAGTCGTAGTATGGATCAGTACATTCTGGTTAACAGAATGAAAACAAAAAACCATTGGTAGACACTTTTTCAACATTTTCAATAGAACAAAGCAATAATTCTGGTTACCAGAATGTCTAATCCATACTACTACTTAAGCTACCGCATTTGATTTTAATACTAAAGATTTTTAGAATGGTAGAAGATGGTATTTAAATTACAAAGTGTATGATTTACTGTGTTTTTAGGAAAAAAATCCTAAATCAATATTCCTAGTTGGTTATCAAAAAAGATCTTAATCATTAAAACATCTTAAAATATGGATTTCATTTGGAGATGAAGAAAATAATATTTTTTCATATGTTCGGCAAATAATCTATTTTTTTCTGTACCCTTACAATGCATTAATATTAATTGTTGTCCATATAATTTCTGTCGAACTAATCAGCGACAGAACGTATTTCAATATTTTCTCTTCATAAAAGAGGACAAAAAAAAAGAAAAAAAAAAATTATGTTCTGCTTTTCATTTTCAAGCCAATATGTACGATCGTTTGAACAACAACAAATGATCGAATGTAAGCGTGACAAAATATGGCAAGGCCAAAGAACAGCAAAAAATAACATAGAACAGGAAAAAAATAGAGAACGAAAAAAAGCAACAACAGTTACACAGTAGTTTTGCTTTCAATCAATATGTCTTGTTTTTCTATAATTGATAGTTTGTTTATGTGGTTGTAAGCACACAACTTATGTAGTGCTAAGTAAGATTTACTTTTTTAGAGATACAAAGCACCTTTATAGTACTGCGTCGTGAGGTTTTTTAAGTTTATTTCTATTATTTTCTATTTTTTTTAGAGACATACATCTCTATGTTTCATATTTTATGTCACCGTGATCTTGAGAAGGATTAACTCGAAAATGTTTGTTTGAATATGAAAAAGAACAATTAAAATGAAATCAGATATAGTTTTTACAATCATTCTTAGGATGTCTTATTCGTTTCCAAATAGCGGTTCAAAAGTACAATTCGTTTAGACTTTTAGATTTTCCAATTTCGAGATAATTTATATGAGAATAGTTAGATCCCATGCTCTCTACTCACAACTAAGATTGTTTTATTCACTCTTTTGGATAGAATGGAAATAGTAACTGAAATGGATCCATCAGTTGGTATTGATAATCTTGTAAAACCAACAATTGATATGGCGCGATTGGTTGTGACTCCAAGTAAATATACAGTCTTATTTATTTCTATAATGTTCACTTGCATCGTTTTTATTGAGTTCGTTGTTGAAAAAAACTTAATTTATTTGTAAATAATATGTGAATAGCTTTATTATATAAACTTATACTATTTCGACAAATATTCATTTATAGATTGATCTTATTTTTAATATAATTATCTTATTGAAAAAAGAAATCTTGAAGATTTTAATTTAATATTTCTTATTCTCCATCTAGTTTTTAGGTAATGCTCGTCAAAAACATACAGAATATTTACCTTATCCAGATGATAAATTTATTGATGAATCTCTACAACTCTATTCGCGTATTTATTAACCATACAAGCTATCTAATTTTTTTTTCTTATTAATTTGATTTATAATAGATGAAAAACGTCCATTGGAAGAAGTCTATCGTAGATGTAATAAAATATTTATTGATGGCTTATCAGTTGAAGTTATTAGCATAACTGCAGTAAGAGGCTATAAGTCTGCTACAGATTTTCTTCATCCGTATCTGTGAGTATTTTTCTCATCAATGTATTAAAAAATAATTTATATTATAAAATAAAATATTTTTTTTAAAGATATACAATAAGAGTTCGTCATGGCCCTGAATTTGAATGGATCATACATAAACGTTATAAACATTTTCATGATCTCCATAAAGCTCTTGTTCATTATGTTGAACGCGCAACAGGGTGATCTATAAGCAGCTTGAACAAGTAATATTGCGTTAAATATATTTGATTTAGTTGTTTTCTTTTTTTATTAAATATTTGATTTCCAGAAGTGATTCATCACAAAGAGAAGCAAATAATGATGACAGTTCTTCATTAAATAAGAAACAAGATGAACAACCATGCTTTCCAACTCGTAGCGATCGACTTTCTTTTTTAATTCAATTTACAATTGAAGAGCGATGTGTAAAATTTTGTTTTCTTTTCTTGTCTTGTTTTTCTTTATTTATTGTCGTTTATAGAAAACATTACAAAATTATTTGAATAAAATATTAAAACATCCAAAATTTCGTGAACATATGGCAACGGTAAATACATTAAAATCTATATAAGATAAAATTTTGATTAATTTAATTAAATAGAGAGAGTTTCTTGATGTAAGTTCAATATCATTTGTACAAGGTTTGGGTATTAGTTTGAACGAAGGTGCTATTGCCAAACATTCAATAAGTGACATCCGTGGTTGTTCAATATTTCTTCGAGTTCCATTTATATGTGATAAACTTCGATGTCATCATGCACTACGATGGTTTGTTCTTAAAGACTCATATCTTGTTTATATGAATTCTGATTCCGCTTTAATTGGATTTCCATTGCTTATCGATTGTGCCTTTTCTTTTGAACAAGGTTATCGGAAAACTACAACTAATAATGGAATTAAAATTAAAAATTCACAACGTTCTATGTTTATTAAATTTGAAAAAGAAGATGACCGTAATACTTGGTTTGATCGTTTGACGGATGTTAAAAGTAGATCTTTGTTTGCTGAACGAAATCTTTTTCAGTCATATGCACTAAGAAGGCAACAGCAATATGCTCACTGGTTTGTAATGCATTTTCTATTCAATATTCTTACGAAACGAGTTTAACTATTATTTTTTATTGAAGAGCAATCTTAAAGAAACTTTAAAATATATTGAATGAAAGCTTCTATCTTCTACAGATCGTGAAAATTTTTCTTAATATACGAGCAAAAACAAAACCTTCTTAATTCTTAAATTTCTCGAAGGTCAAATGATAAAATATATACTTAAAGAAAATATCTCATAAGAATTCTATGAAACAACAACGTCATAAATAATAAGAAACTATTGTTTTTTGTTGAGATAAGTTTATAAATGGTCAATCATATATGGAAACAGTAGCTAAATCTATATTAGCAGCACGAGAAGAAATATTCATTGCTGGTTGGTTTATTTCACCTGAATTAATGCTTATTCGTCCTTGTGATGATGATTCAATGCGACTTGTTAATCTACTTAATAAAAGAGCTGTACATTTTCAAGATTCTTTCTTTTATTTATTATATAAATATATGTATATATAGGAAGAAGGAATTCGTGTTTATGTGTTACTATTTAACGATCCACCACTTGTTGATTTAAATAGTGATCATACAGAATCAAAATTGATGGCTCAAAGTCCAACTAAAAGAAATATAAAAGTGATTCGGCATCCAAATCACACGTTTTTGCTAGGAATTGAATCATCATGGCTTTTTTCTCATCATGAAAAAATTGTTGTTATTGATCAACGTATTGCTTTTATTGGAGGAATTGATCTTTGTTGGGGACGATCTTGGTGGAAAACGTAGAAAAGGAAAACGCAGAAAAGGAAAACGTAGAAAAAAAATAGTCGAAAGGAAAACGTAGAAAAAAAATAGTCGAAAGGAAAACGTAGAAAAAGAAAACGTAGAAAAGGAAAATATAGAAAAGGGAAACGTAGAAAAGGAAAATATAGAAGAGGAAAATATAGAAAAGGAAAACGTCGAAATGATCAATGTTATTTTTTTGATCAGTGACAAATATATATATATATGCTTTATTAATTTAAAATAAAAAAGATGAAAGAAAATGACAATATGAATGCATCTAATTTTTTTTCTTTCCAACTAATAGTGATAAACCTGACAAAAGTTCAGTTGCGTTGATTTCCTTCTTCAGATATCTGTTGTGCAAAGTATCAAATCTCATTTGAAAAGCTGTTGTTTTTTTTGATGGTTTCGGTGCAGATGCACCAGCTTCAAGTTGAACTAAAATATGTTCAAAACGCGCATGTTCACTTTGAATTAGTTGAATGAAAATCCAGATGTTTGGGTGTTTTTTTGATAATCGAGTTGCAAATCGAAGATTATAAGCTAAAATATAAGTATCGAAGGACAAGCCCTTCGAAAATAAAAAAATGAAGATTAGCAGTTTATTTACCTTCAGAAGTATTATTTGTACGATGAATGACATCATGGAAGTTCCACATTTCGAGCGGAACAACGCCATACATCCACTGATGTTTAAAATATAATAATAAATCACCTAATGCTGGTGACGTCGTTGTTTGTAAGCGTTGAAATTGACTCTCAACTTGATCTTTTGGCAGCAGACTTAACGCCATCAGCTGCCGACATTGATCACGAATTGTTTCATCATGTAAATATTCAGTTGCTAAACCTAAATCTTTAATTTTCCGGTGTATTGCTTGATGAAGATGGAACATACATCCATTATGAATTGAACCAGGAAACTAATTAATGAAAAAAATCTCTTACATACACTGAATACATATAATAGAGATAAAAACACTCACTTCTTGTTGAACAATAGGCAACATAGCGGGTTCATAATCTGATACAATACGTTGAGGACTAAACTGTTTTCCCATAGCAGTTGCTTGATCTTTTAGTAGTTCAAATAATGTTGTATATGTTTTACCACGCTTGTTTGGCAGAAGACAAAATGCAGCTGGTAATCCTGCAATACGAGAGGGCAAATATATGTATTAAAGATTTTATAACTGATCTATCACGTACCTTGACCGAATTTATGAGCATGAAACAAATACACTTGCTTAAATTGACCGGGTGAGGTATCAAAAGTACCATCTATGAAAATTGTATTACTCTCGAATAACAGTTCTAGTTGTTGATCACTTGAGAAAATCAAAATACGATTTTTTCCACGTTTTAAACATACATCTGCAAGTAAAAATCGTTTGTGTGATAATGTTTGTTGATATAATTCTGGAATTTCGAATATTTCAGATGATGGTATTACAGGTGTATTTTTTCGTCGTGCTTTACTCATGTTAGACCCTTAATATAAAAAGAAACATTTGAAACGAAATATTTCACTAATGTATAGAGTAATACATACTATATTCAACTACAGTTGGTAAAACTGCTACTGCACCTTTGGATAGATTTGCTTTAGCTACTTCTTCATCATATATCCTCGTAATTGATGTTGTTTCACTTATTATTCGTTCCTTCATTTTATCTCGTAATAGTTTAGCTTCTAGTTGATCTGGATTGAAAGGATGATTATGATCACCATTGATACATATCATTTCACCATCAATTGTTGTGTGTATATAAACACCACATTCTCGCTCACTGCATAACCAATACTTTTTATTCACTGTAATTTTATTGCACTTGAATAAGTAATTCTTGTATATTAATAATGGTTTTCCCTTGTTGGTTGTACAGAACGATATATCAAAATGCTGGGCTTTACATGAACTATTTTCAGAATCTAAATTTGTCGCCATTCTCATAATATATCAATTCAATATGTGAAAAATTTCTTTATTCGATCAGAAATATTGCATGTGGAGAGAGAGTGACTAATGAGAATAAGAATACAGAATTTATTTCTCTAGTGACATCATTCGAATGTATTCGATATTTTTATTTTCTGTGTTTTCCTTTTCTGTATTTTCCTTTTCGATATTTTCCTTTTCTGTATTTTCCTTTTCTACGTTTTCCTTTTCTACGTTTTCCTTTTCTGCGTTTTCCTTTCCACTATTTTTTTTCTACATTTTTCTTTTCTGCGTTTTCCTTTTCTACGTTTTCCACCATCCCCTTGGGGACGATGCAGTAGCGTAAATAGGGGGGGGCGCGTGGGGCGTTACGCCCCCCCCTGCTTCGGAAAATTACTAGAAAAAAAGGGGTTTACGCCCCCCCTGCTTTTGAAGATTCCGTTGTTTTTGCTCATCAAAATAGAAAAAAAGGGGTATACGCCCCCCTGCTTTCGGAAATTCCAGTTTTTCGCTCATGAAAATTTTCGTTAGTTTTGAAGGAATAAATTTTGGGATTAGGCTGAAGGGGAGTAGGGGCTTTTTTTTTTTTTAGTGTTCACTTTGGGTTTTTGGGAACCTCTCCACTCTTGGAAACAATCGACAACCTTGATTATGGTCCCCTGTTTCTGCAAAGTTTATTTTTTTGGTGGTGGAAATAAAAAATTAGTATTACGCCCCCCCTGCTCTGACATCTGACTTACGCCCCTGGGACGATGGGATACAGATGAGCATAAGTTTGTTATTTTACTTTACACTTATTTCAATCATTGAAGAAATCCTTCTAATATGTGAAAGTTTTATTTTTTGTTCTTGTATGGTTTACTTTTAATAGATTAGTCGATTTGTGTGATGACAATATAACGGAATTAATACTTCCAAATGAAAAAGATGATCAACTTGAAAAAGAAGTACAGAAGGAAGAAGCTGCAGTTAGTATCACAGAAAAAATGGCAGAAAGCACACATGTTAGCAATATTGTAAGAATATTTTTCTTTTTTGATTTTTCGTCATTTATTATGTATTAACTATATACCATCTATAATTTCAATATTACTCATATTTCATCCAGAAAGTTCAAAAAAAATTTTTAGAAACAGTTTATAAGACTTCAGTTCTTATGTATTTGCTAACTTTTAAAAGATATAAGATAATGTTGACAACAAAGTAATGTTCTTTCATTTGCCTTATTTCTTTAGAAATATAATTTAAAGAAAAGAAATTCAATGAAATATTCTTGGTAGAAATCTTGAACAATTTTGTTTTAATTACATTTGTTTTTCTTCTTCATAAAATATATTTGAATGAAATATTCTATCGCATATCAGATGAAAAGAACTTGTTCTGAAATTCAAAAGTAAACAGAATTTTTTTTGAAATCGATTTATTATTTATTTTTGATATAAATACATTAAATATAATGTTTAAATATTTGAAAGGCGTCTTCAACGCAAATTCCAAAAGAATTATGTAAACAATCAAAACTTGATCAAGAAAAAAAATCATTATTAAAATCAAATCAAAATCAAAGTATTATTGGTTATGTCGAAAGAATTATTAATTCATATTTATTTAAATAGATGTTAATGGTGAAAGAACCAAGAATAATAGCAATCTTGCAGCATCACCTGGTAAGACTTTTTTTATTGCTTTTTTTATTCGATATAATTCTATTTACTTAAAAAGTAACCGATTTCCGAAGTGTGTTAACCGATGCTGAACGAGAAATTTTAGCTGACGAAGAAAACACTGAACATGGACGGCATAAACATAAAGAACGATGGAAGAGAATAATCAAAGTAAATTATTTAAAGGAGTTATTTATAAATTCTGTTGTATTTCTTATCGTAACTGATAGACAATTCGCAAAAAAGAATACGAAGAATCATCGAATGAAAATGAAGAAATTCTATCAGAATCAATTGATGAAAAACCTAAAACAATTATTAATGAAATATCAGTTTCTAATAAAAAAATTCGATATTTTATAGGAAAAGATTATGCAAATGCTTATGATGAAGATTTTAAAAATCTTGAAAAATTTGAAGAAGGTCCTCCTATTATTTCACAAATCATATTAAATATTTTATTATCTTTTTTTTTTAAGACTGTGTTGATCGAAAAATATTTCCACGAATGCCATGGCACGACGAAGCTTTGGTTGTTAGTGGAGAAGCAGCAAGAGATTGTGCCAGGCATTTTATTCAACGATGGAATATTCATAAAGTAAATTTTTCTTTGTTTCTTTTTTTATTGAAATAATTGAAAATTTTGGCTTTTCTTTCTTTTTCTTTTTTGCTAAAAATTAGGCAGATCAATATCGCTTTAATGAATTTTTTCCATACATCCTTCCAAAGAGTTATGATGATGATCAATTATTTGATTCATCAATGCTTTCTGATATTCTTGGTGAAAAACTAAAACCAATTCGTTTTGATGCTCAATGTGTTCGTTCTGCTGCAGATTGGTCATGTAGCATTGGCCCTAAAGAAACTTCAATACAAAATGCGTATATTCATATGATTAAGAGTGCTCAACATTTTATTTATATTGAAGTAAGTTTTATCTATTCTATTCACTGAATTTCAAAATAAGAGATTTCTTGTTTAGAATCAATTTTTTGTTTCAATTGCTAATGATACAACAATTAAAAATTTGATTGATGATGCACTTTATCATCGGATAATTGATGCTGCTAACAAGAAAGAAAAATTTCGAGTATATGTTGTATTACCATTATTACCAGGATTTTCAAATGAAAATGCTGTTCAAGCGGTTCTTTATTGTATAATGAGATCTATTAATAAAGGAGAAACATCACTTTATCAAAGATTAATACGAGATGGTAAGTTTTAAATCAAAGAAAATAAATTATACGTGTAAAAGATCAATCGAAATCGAATATTATTTTGTAATTGAATATAGCAAACAACTCTTTATCTAAGTTAAATTAATAGTAAAATCGTACTCTAGTTTTGATATTGTTTGCGTGCCAATACTTGTCTATTATCCATTTCAAAATATAGTGTATTTAATTTTTTTTTTGAATAACTTTTCATGAGAACATCATAGAGAACTTTAATGTAAGCCGTGTAACCCATAATCATTTGAAAAAGCACCTATGTAAATGCAATTCACTATAATGAAATGAATAATGATATTTATTTTAAGATTCAAACTGACGTGACATTATTATCTTAATAGTTCAAAAAAATGTCAAGCTCAAAAAGTCTTATAACTGTCAAGTGAAACAAGTTTGAAATGTAAATTTAATACAGATCGGAAGGAAAGAATTTTTCTATCAACTGTTTCTATTGAACGTTTAAATTAAAAGAAAAATGCCTTCAAAATATCATTTTTAAAAATCTCCGTCAACAAAGTCACAACCTTTCAATTGCTAACAAATTAAATTTTAATACGATTCAGAAGTTAGATCAATAAAAGTAATTTGCAAACTAAAACGAACGGTCTTATTCAACATGCCTATTATCCATAGAACTCAATAGTCTTGTTTTTAGATTGTTTCAACCAAGTTTTTTGATAAAAAGTAATGCTAAATAGCTTCCTTCTATTTTATCTTGAACCGAAAAACATTAGAGTTTTTTAAAGTGTTGAAAAAGTTTCATATACAAACTTCTATAAAAAAAAATGGATTATATTAAAAAATGTGAATTTATGATGAATTCTTTTAAATAAGCACCGTGCACCATTTTACTCAAGTTTTAATATGACAGATCACTAAGGGTTACAATCTACTGCATCAATGATAGTATTATGTCAACTTTCAAAAGTCTCGAAAACATTCCGTTAATAAAGAGTTAAACCAAATTAATTTGTAATGATATGGTGATAGTATTTTTTTTTTATTGTAACATGTAATAATCAAGTTTACATGAAACTAATAAGGCTCAAAACAACAGAACAATGAAATGATTTTTTTGTAGAAAAATGATTTTGAAATAAATTATAAGGAGTGGAAATATATAAAGCTGACTACACTATCGATTCTATTTGATTAAAGGACAGTCATGTAGTAATCATAAGCAAAAATGAGTAAAATCTTATAAAATGTCAAATTAATTCTGGAAAAATACTTTAGACCTTTTTCATAATACAGATTTTGTTTTTTTTTGGTTAATATTATTTATTAAAATAGGTGTATCTAATCCTGAAGAGTATATAACATTTTATGGAATGCGTAATTGGGATATATTAATGGATACATTAGTAAGTATTTGAAATTATTTTATTTAATAATAACAAAAAACGAAAAAAATCTCATTCAAGATAACAGAAATAATTTATGTTCATTCAAAACTAATGATTGTTGATGATCGAATGTGTATTTGTGGATCAGCAAATATAAATGATCGTTCTCTTCAAGGTTCTCGAGATTCAGAATTTTGTTTAGCTGTTGAAGATGATGAAATGATTGATTCACAATTAAATGGTCAAAAACAAAAAGTTGGACTTTTTTCGTCAACATGGAGAAAGAAATTATTTAGGTTTGTTTTAATCTAATATTGTCATTAATATATTTATTAGTTTTTTTACAGACAATTATTGGGTATTAAAAATGAAGAAGAAATGAGTGTTGATGATCCATGTTCAGATGAATTTTACGAATATTTTCGACGAAGAGCAAAAGCTAATGCACAAATTTATGAAGAAGTTTTTAATACTTTACCTACTAATCGTGTTAGAACTTTTATCGAAGTTACTGAATATACTCAGAAATCAAAATTGAGAGATACTGATCCATTAGCAGTAAGTTTGATTTTCTTTATTTAGTTTTTATTTAAATAAAAAATGTTTAATTTTAATTAAGGCACATAAAAAATGTAAACAAATTAAAGGTTTTGTTGTCGAATTTCCCTTAGAGTATGTAGCTGATGACGTTCTAATCCCAAAATGGACAACAAAAGAAGGTCTAATTTAATTTGGAATAAAAAATTTCTTAAATAAAGTAAATTTATTTTCATTATAGGTGTGGTTCCTATGTTCATGTGGGCATAAAAAAAAATTCGATTCAATCAAACTACTTTGTAGAAAAAAAAAATTGAACGTTGATTGTTTTGTTTAAAGATAAAAAAATGACTAGATCTGATGTTTGTTTTTTATTTTTGCTTAGTTTTTTATCAATGTGTTTTAACTTTTATTCAGAAATTGACTTCATTCACAGGTGCTTTATCTATTTTTAATAAATAATTTAGATAGAATAAATAAATGTAGATTATGAAAGAACGGGGGCGCATAAGAACAGGAATCGGCTCACGAACAAATTCTCATAAGAAGTTTATTTTCCGATGCAGAATTTTACGGCGAATCTTTTGATGCCAAATTCAATATATTTTCGAAACCGTTTGACGCCCTTGGGGCCCATGCCAATTATACCCTATTTTTACTCAGTGCAGAGCGATTATGTTTGTCAAAACATTATTTGACAAAGCTTCAAATATGGTCATTTGAAAGAGCGTAAAAGTCTGCACAAAACCGTATATGAACCAGCTAAAAATAATCAACATCAGTAAAAATTCCTTAGCAACTACTATGTTTTGGGTGTGAGTGTTCTTCTTCTTCTGATCCACACCCACATCCACCCCCCATATTTGACCGGAATCGGGACTAAAAAAAGTGATTTTGCAGTTCCCTACCCCACACTCTTGACTGATTTATGATGAAATATACAGAAAAAAAATCCGTCCTCAAAGGGTTAATGCCGGACATTGCCGTCAAAAAAACCACACGTCTCTAACTACAAACAACGAACTTATATCTTCTCCAATTCTAGATCCAAAATGTCTGACTGACTAAAGTAGTCCTACACAACATATCACCAGTTAGAAACTCAGCTACAAAAAAGCCTCATCCATGGAAACCCAGTCATGAAACAGCTGATTGAGGGAGAACTTATCACGTGTGTCAGATTGGCTGAATTTTCAGTCTGAAAAATCGGATTGGTCGAAAGCCCAATATTGAAAACGTGAGCATCGAACGCTTAGTCAATGTTTTTTTGACGTTTCACCTTTCATTCTGACACAGACAGACAGAAAAACTTATTTTATTTCATATGACCCTTTCTACAGTCGAGGGAATATCATTATTTTCTCAAAAAAACCTTTCCTTGGCCCTAGAAATTCAACTCAAAACTTTGATAAATGGATCTCAGATTCGGATTCTCCGACCCTGATTTACTTTCCTTAACCTTTACCTCCAGCCTGAAAAAATCTGACCGGTTGAAAGCCCAATATAAAAACTTCTGATTTACTGAAATCTTACGATGAAAAAACTCAACTGGCATAAGTCCTAACATGAAAAACTCGATTCACTTAAATTCCGATGTATTCATATTTGATCATGTTTTTTTTATCTTTGACCCTGACACAAACACACATACCCACATATCAACTCATTTTATTTCATGTGACCCTCCCTACAGTTGAGGAAACAACACATAAAATGCGACACATTTTAAGTTAGAGTGTATCTTTTCCTTTTTTCCTACTTTAACATGGGTATCTTCGAAATTTATAATTTATAATTTATATAAGATTTTATCTTTTTCTTTTTTTGCTATTTTAACATGAAAGCCTTTTTTTATTTATTTTCGAAGTTATAATCATTTAGCTCTCAATTTATATTCGAACTCAAATTAGGCAACTCATGCCACACGCACACCCTGCAGATGTTAATTTTCATCTACATCCACATTCATACATTACCTGAGTGCACACAGACGCTTCTGTTAAAGAATATAGTATGCTGAAAGAAATCGCATACATGTTGTTGGTAGTAGAAAGCAAATATGTTAATATGATTCATAAGATGAAAATGACATAATGGATGAGAAAACGATTCGACTTGTTTCAGAATGAATCGATTCTATAGAGAAAGGCATAGTCGCTGCTATTGCAATTCATTATTTTTTTTCAACAGAATACGACACCGACGAAGTCAAAAGAAAAACGAAGTTTTAATATTTATTTCACTCATTTATTACAGAGAAAGAATGTCGTTTGTCACAGTACTCTTTTTCGGTGTTTTCTTTTCATATATACAAGGTTTGCTGATTTATTTCTTCTCATTTTATTCTTTCATAATATCAAAAATGTTTAGGCCAAAGTACAACAGTCCTCGATTACTATTGTAATGAAAATGATCATAATATTCAATTTTCATGGTCTTCTTCGGGACATTCTGGATGGGAACCAACATTAAATTGTTCTTTACAACAATGTAATATAAACTTGAATAATAATGCTACCTGTCGTTCTTCATCAACACTATGTTTCGATTACCGTTCAGTCAATAATATGATTTATTGTGCACCAGGTTTACTATGTTCACTTTTGGAACCATGCAACAATGTTACTTATAATTGTACATCAAATACTTCTGTATGCATTATTAATTCATGCTGTTCACCAAAAGCAGTATGTTTACCATTACTATTGACAGATTTCTGCAGATCAGGTAGACACACACCATACTCAACTTTTTGAATACATAGTAGCGAATTACTGCACTTTATCAAGATTTAAACGGATAGTTGATTTCATTTCGTCAATTTTATGATTAAATGAGTCTTATAGCAGAATGGCAATAATAATAATAATAAGGAAAAACTTATCAGTGTAGCTCCTTTTCGAGCTAAAATGTAGAACTCATAACGTCTGGCTGTTATAAATTTATGGTGTATTGTCAGACGTTTGAAAATAAATTATTAGAAATAATGTTCGATAAATTAGTCAGAATTGTAATCAGTTTTATAACTGATAGACACGTTCGAAAATTTAATGCTCTTGAAATTCGTCACTTTTATAATTAATTTTCTATTAAACTATTCCATTCGTGCAACTTTGTAACATTCAAAACAAAACTATTGTTACTTTCATATACATCTTCAATCATAACTTCTATTGTCCTAATCATTATATGCATATGACACAAACCACACTAACGAGAAGATATAATTTCATTTTTAATTTAAGTACTAAATATTTTAAGTATTATATTTATTAAATATTGATTTTAATATTACTGATTATTCTATAAAATATAAAATATCTTATATAATATATTTTATATTTAAAATATATAACATTAGAAATTATTATTTTAAATATTGAATAATAAATAAAATATTCAACATTTAAAATATTATTAATTAATTAATCTGTCTGTAATGAGGCATTGATATGGAAACCAGTTCAATAACCTATGGCTTAGCCTTCCTCTCCCGTTGCTATGGAAACCTGTCTAATAACCTCGACTACCTCCACTCACACACGGTTGCTATGACCCAGGAGGGGAGAATGGAGGGGTGGGGAATCGAAAAACCTCGATTTAAAACTTATACTCACTATTTTTTTCAAAAATATATGTGAGTTCCACAAAACAAGTGTAAATTCGTGGAATTAAGTTAAAATATAACTGAATGCTGATGTATTTTTCATGAAGCGCTCATATCTACATCAGTACCCTATTTGTCTTATTAATGAATGAAATCTGACAAAGTCTTTCTACAGCATCAAAAAAGCCCCAATAGATAGAATTTTTGTATATCTATGAATCCTGTCAGAAGTTTCGATGTTCTCTTGAAACTATATTTCAATAAACCATAATGAATATTTAAATAATTTACAATGCAATTTTTTTTTGATAAAAACATTCCTCAAGAAAAGGACCCGCTTGTTTCATTAGACTACTTTTCATTTTATAATATTTATTCTGAGTGCATCGGCAATGAATTAAAGCATAAGTTGTTATATGTCAATCGATATGCTAAGAGAAGCACTGTTTGGTGACAGATACTTGCTTTTCTCGGAGCTATCTTTTATGATACATTACTACAACGGAAAAATATTCAAGCATAGATTTGGACCACATGTATTGTATAGTTAAAATTCTGAATATTGAGTTGGATAGTGCAAAGCGGGAGCTACAAAATGCAATAAGCCAATCCACTGTGGAATATAGTCGTTTTCAGTTAACAAGGACTAAGTTTGAGCATTATACTGTTTTTTTCTTAGATCCTAATGTTGTGCAAGAAAATTTTAGAGAAACGAAAAGTAGTGTTTGATGCATGGGAGAATGCACTGTACTTTCAGGAACAAGAATATATAATTAGAATTAATTTTCGTCGCCCTAAAGTTGGAAAAGTGAAATGGTCAGAATTCAATAACTTTAATAGGAAAATTCGTTAAAGGTGATCTTTTTCATCATAAACATAACTCATCAAATTCTACAAAATAAAAGCACATTCACTCAACGGACGGAATACTCGAGTTTTTGTGGAACAAACTGCATGAAACAGTGCTAAAATAATTTATTGCAAAGTCAGATATTATCATTCAATGGTTGAAAAGTTCTATGCCTTCTAATCGCCTGAGAAAGACATTGTTTAAAATACTTTCACTACTCATGAACCGATTTTTGTAGAAGACTTCTCTGATCGTCTGGGTGACTGCAAAACAAATTTTGAATAATATGTTAGATAAGTTTCGTAATTTCCATAACCACGAATAAACCAGACTTAAATTCGTGTTTGTCGATAGATATCATTTTTCTCCATTAGAATGGTATGAGTTACTATAGAAATTCACACGATACGTTACGACAATGGAGCTCCATGATACATGTCTTTAACAGAGCCAAAAAAAGACATTATTAAATATAATTTGAAAGATTCTCCTAATCTCTAGACTGTTAAAAAGATACTGTTCTTAACATTAGCAGCAATTTTCATCTTACAATATTTTAAAACACTTTTTTAAAATACAGTTTATCTTTTGTACTCAATTATTTAGATCCTTGTTTTAGGATGGATTAACGTTGGTAATATGAATTACGAAAGAGTTTACCACACAGCATCCGTATTAACAAATGGAAAAGTATTAGTTACCGGTGGAACTGGTACTGATGCAAACAGTGTCACTGCTCTAAATACTTGTGAGTTGTATGATCCATTGACAGGAACTTGAGCCATGACTGGTAATATGAATCATGGTCGATATGACCACACAGCATCTGTATTAACAAATGGGAAAGTGCTAGTTACTGGTGGAACTGGTAATGATTATGCAAGTATTTCTGAGTTGTATGATCCATCCACAGGAACTTGGACAATCACTGGTAGTATGATTTATGCAAGACATGGACATACAGCATCCTTGTTAGAAAATGGAAAGGTATTGGTGGCTGGTGGAGTTGCTACTGTTTATATTGCCGAGTTATATGATCCATTATCAGGAACTTGGATGAGTACTGGTCGTTTGAAACATCCACGATTTCGCCACACAGCATCCGTGTTAGCTAATGGACAAGTATTAGTTATAGGTGGATATGCTAGTCTTTATCTAAACAGTACTGAGTTATATGATGCATCAAAAGGAAATTGGAGTAACACTGGTAATATGAATTACGCACGATCTTATCACACAGCAGCTATATTGACAAATGGAAAAGTGCTAGTTGCTGGTGGAATTGGCAATCGTTTTCAAAATAGTGCTGAATTGTATGATCCATCGACAAGAACTTGGATAATGACCGGTAGTATGAATTATATGCGATCTTATCATAAAACAGCCGTATTGAAAAATGGAAAAGTATTAGTTGCTGGTGGACGTGATGCCAAAGGGTTTTCACTGAATAGTGTCGAGTTATATAATCCATCAACGGAAACTTGGACAATGATTGATAGTATGAATAATGAACGGTATGACTCAACAGTATG